ACCCCCACAGGTCATATTGAGGGCAAGAGAGCAAGTCACCTACTTGATAAACTTGTGTGAATGGGTGGTGGAAAAGGAGATGTGAGTGTTAGCAAAGGGAGAAAACTGAGAGACTCAAGGGATAGGAAGTTATGGTGAGCCATAATCACCCATGTCATTAAAGGATGCAACACATAGAAGAAGTATGGATACTATATTTTATCTTTTATGAATTGGTAGGACATAATAATATTTAGAATAATAATATTTGTCAAGAGAAATTGAGAATATTTTTGAATATTATATTTATATATATATTGTGTAAATAATGAATCATTTCAGTAAAACTATGGAAACAACTAGAGAAATAAGTAACTCTTGTATTTGGCAATAACTAATCAGTTTAAATGCAAAAATATAAATTCTTCTAAAAGGAACTCATAAATTCTTGAGAATCTTTTAGTTTGACACAATGAAATGAAATACTATCTTATTATCCATATATATCTCCCTTGAAACCATATAAACATGAAATTGGATCCACTATTCTTTGTTCTATATTAATATTTATTAACGTGTTTTAAATTCAAATCTCTTGTTAAATGGAAAGTGCTTAATTATCCTATGCCTATCACTGTCAGATACATTGTGCAGATAATGGATCATTTTCCAATATTGTGTGGTTTAATGAATAAGCAGCTTGAAATGAGAAATCATAGGGTGGAGTTTGAATTCCAGTCAGGTTCATTATATTGACTTAAGTGCAAATACTGTTGAGAAAGCATTTCTTCTCTGGGTGTTGGTTAAATAGTACAACTTGTATCTGGAAATATCACTACTATTTTCAAAATATTGTTAACACAATGTTCACTCACAAAAATAATTATTTTTACAATCCAAAATATGTTTTGGTTTCACAAAGTGTTGATAAACTGTTAAAAAATTAAATCAACAAAAATCCTATGTAAAGTGTGAATCACAAACAAATAGAAAAAATATCAAATAAATGTTCAGGCAAATTAATTCTTTACTTTTTTTTAATGCTTGTTCCTTCCAAATGTCAGCAATCATGGCTCTTCAGAGACCCCTTTTTTCTTTACTATCTCTGGATTAACATGACTTTTTAAGAAAGATAGAATGGTTTCCAGTTGCATTCTCCACAATTCTGAGGTGTCATTCTCTCAGTCTGTTTACCACTCAAGCGAGTTCAGTCTACCCCACAATTTAACTCTTGGCTGGAGGGAGAAGAAGTAGATTAATGATTTTTTCAAGAATCTGTGTGTAAAAGTGAATGCAACTGACGAGGCCGAAATTTGAATTGAACCCCTTGATTCCATGTTGCTAAGTTACACTACTCACACATCTGATTTAAACTATATTAAAAAAAAAAATATTTTATGCCTGAAATTATCATTCCATAATATCATTTGGTAAAAGTTTGGGATTTATTTGGTGAGATATTTTCAAAATTTGACAAATAGTGTAACTTATTTTTAGATAATAAAAATCAATTTAAACCTTTTCCCATTAGCCAGTCTCTTTCCATCAACAAATAAAGATTAGAAATTTAGCAATCGAAATTCTTGGATAAATGTCCAGCATGAATAACGATATCTGCCTCAGTGTCTGCAAATTGATTCTACTCCATTTTTATTTTCATCTTATGATTTCTGCCAATATTTTGCTTTCAAATAACTTTTGATTATCTGTATAACATCCTTCCTGGCCTCACAAAAGTGTTAAATGAATCTTCCTGCCAATCAATAATGACATGACCCACTCGTACTATCCAAGGAAATAACTTGATTTTATTGTGCAATAAGGCTTTGTTTGTTGCAGATATCTCAAGGTCTTCATTGTCCAGCCTTCTCAATGAAAAGCTGTTGGGTCGATATTCTGATGCAGCCAAATCTGGACTTTCTAAAGATTGTGATTAGCCTAAATATTACATTTAAAAAATGCTTTGTTCATTTACTTTTAACACTGATACTTCAAATCAAAACTATTTTTGCTTCCCTAAAGACTGAATTATGTTCTGCATGGCACTCAAACATGTTTTTCTTGCTTGTCATGTATTTTGTAACCAAATAATCCCATTTTTTTATTTCACTGAAAACAGAATAGGCACATTGTTTTGAATTTGTCATTCTCTTAGAAATTTTTTGTTCTACACATATTGAAATGGAGGCCATTTTTAAAAAGAGTGCTTTTAAATTAAGCCATAGAAAATTACCTTATACACATAAGTAAAAATTAGAATTTTATATGAAAAATTCCTGTTGTTATATACAGATTAATATTTGATATATATTCATTTTAGGAAGAAATGATCATACTGTACATAAATATAGCACATTTATGCACACACACACACACACACACACATATATATATATATATATATATATATATATATATATATATATATATATATATATATATATATATAACATAAAAATTTAAAAAAAACTTACAAAATATTCCATATCCATCATATTTAATGAAACATTTATAAAAGAATTGCTGCCCAAATATACAATATGTAAAATGAAAGTGAATCTATAATGACACAATGTAATTTTGATCTGAAATTTTTGCTATATAATATTTATTCATTATCTCTGGAGAAGCATTAGTTTAAGTGCATTGACAAGGAAGGAGATTATGTTTAAAATAATTTTTTGATATGTAAAATAAACACTTTTTTATCATTAGACTATGAAATTAATGAATTTTTTTTTATTGAGTCACCAATGGAGGCTAAAAAGCTTGTCTATTGGCACACCAACCCGTTTTTAATTCACTGTTGTCTTTCTTCTTGACTGGATGCCATCCAGGGCTGAAGAGCTTCTATCTGCCCATTACTACAATCATCAATGGCTTCTGAATTGTTTTCTTTCCAGTTTCACTTAGAGAGCTTACGTCAAACCACAATATGGTTTCAGAGTATTTCATGACAGTACTGCACACTGGTATCATCTCTCTGGACTGATATTATCAAGAAGTCAACATCTTAACGAAATGACCATGTGAGATTTGAAACCTGGGTCTCATGGTCAGAATACAAACACTTGAACCATTCAGTCACTTGTATATTTCTTAAATTTTCCTACTCTCAACTCTAAATGTATATATAAAACCAAGCAATACAGCAACAATATCCCATTGCCAAAAACACAAATTTCTCTTTTGCACACAACAAAAGTATTGATTACACGATGATTGATTCAAGGTACATGAAATGCTTTCAAAAAGAAGATAATGATTAATTTCATTTCAGATGTTCACTTTCAGACAAGCTGCAATATAAATTAGATAGAAATTATTTTTAAATCAATGATTTCTAATGACACCAATTCATTTACATATTTTCATTTTGATATTATCTGTATTAATAAATAGAAATAAAGTAGGTGTGGTTATGTTATAATAGGTTATACAAATAATGATATTCTGATTTCAAAACATTCAACAAAAAATATTTACTTTCCTAATATCTACTGTTGAAGAAATTGAATTTCATTCTAATCACCTTGAGAGACTAGCATATTGATATCAGAGCTATACAAACATTGTTTTCTTTCTGTTGCACAATATATGAGCTTTATGTGAAAAGACAGTTCTAAAAAGGGTTTAAAAACTCTAGTGTTTTTAAAGAGAAAAAATTCTCATCTTTGTTTCCTAGAATCAGCCAATATTGCTATTCCATATATTAATTTGAAATATAACCAAAAATAATTACTTTATTTCCTCAATGTCCATTGATTTAAAAATACTCAATACTAAAGTTATTTTAGAGTTATTTTATTTTGCTATACCTTTTCTGAGTTAACACGTTCTCATATGATTACTGAAGTTAAGTATTACCAAGCCTAGTCAGTACCTAGATAGGTGACCACTTGCTTATACCAGGGGCTGTATTCATTATCCATTAGTGCAATGGATAATGAATTAGAATTGGAAATCGGAGAGCCAAGTTTCAATTCCAGTTAAGTTCATTATATTCATTTATGTGCAAATATTGTTGGGAAAGGTATGACTCTGCCTCATCTCCCCACAAATATCAGTTAATAGGACTTGTATCAGTAAATCATTATTATCTCCAAAAAGCTCTTACGATTTTAAAATATTTTCTGGCTTTAAATAATCTGCAAAAGGTTGATAAACTGTAAAAAGAAATCAATCTGAGTTATTAAGAAAGTATTTACTTGTGAAAAAAAAAATGAAAAAAACAATGTCTATCTGTAAGTGGGAATACATTAATGATTACATACACAATCTGTGAAAAATGAGTGCAGTTTAGTAACCAAAACTGGAGTAGTAAACAAGAGATTGTGCATTGACTTATACTGTGGTATCCAAATTATGGAAAAAGATCAAGAGGTAGACTGGCAAAAAAATCTACATCGAACAACTCACAGATGACACTGGCATAAAAAAAGAACTATGTAGAACTATAGTCAATAAAAATGGTTGTAGAAAGGTGGAAAGAAGTTTTCATCTGAGGACAAGTATGTGTATTTGGTGTGTAATATCACAAGAAATGTTACTATATTGAAATGGGTAAATTTAAAACTTGACAAAATACCATAATTTTAACTTGGTGGTAAATGGGTAATAATTTTGTAAATTTTGTAATTGTACTTCTAAAATGTAAAAAATTGAAATATCATAGTTCCTTTTTTATGGCATAAGTAAATTATGAAAGAATAGCATCAAAGAAAAAACATTCATTTTTTTTGTTGAAAAAAATTGAATAAACAATCCTCTTTCTTGATATTAGAAAAAAAACAAAGGTTTAAGAAAGTTCAATTGAACAGGTTCTTACTCAAAATGAGATTATCACACACACACATATATATATATATATATATATGTATGTATGTATGTATGTGTGTGTGTGTGTAACAAGAATCAACTTCTTTTTCTTAAAATGCCTTAATTAGTTTATGATATTTATTTTTAAAAAATTAAAAAAATGATTTATGATTGATCAAATGAATTGGCATACCCAGATGAACAGAATAAGATAGATAATTATGAAAGGCCAAGATAGATAAAAAAAAAAGTGTGTGTGCATATCATTATGCAAATATGCCCTACTTGGTAGCTGAGATAGTTTTGTATATCCCACCAAATCTTTGGGTCAAAGTTCAAGTGTAAATAAAAAATTAAAATTCTGCAATTTGGGAATTAGTGCAACAAAATTTTTTACCCTTTACCCAATACCAATTTAAATTAGTGCTGAATTGAGATTGACAGTCACTTGTTTCTGAGTATGTCTGTCTGAAAAGGTGTCTAGCTAATCTCTATTGGAGTTGCCTGCTGAGTCGCATTTGTATTTGTTCAACATTCACAGAGCCAACCTGTAGTTTATACTACAACTATGCTGAGTGGAACTGAGAGTTTCTGGGAGAGAATGTATAATCTGGCATAATCACCATTTTGAACAATGCCAGCACATGCAAACTCTCAGTTAAAATTTGTGAATTTGTACTAGTATAAGTTTCATTTACTCAATTTCAGGCTTGTGTAAAATTGTTGCATGGTTCTCAGGTACTTTCCCATGCATGGTACTGCATGCTGGGATCATCTCCCACAAGCCATTATTATCAAGAACCACTTCCTTGACAAATTAACCATTATAAGACTTGAACCCATGTCTCATGATCAAAACACTAATATTCTAATCACTCATCCACAAACTCACTTTGGACTGAAATAAACTTAGCAAATATCTATAATTATGTCAAGAAAACTATAGGAACTCTTATAGTAAAGGAAAGGAGGAAGAAAGAACTAATCATTAATTGTTAGAAACAGAATGTATGGTTGTCTGTAAGAAGAACAGACCACTGTACAATCGATGAATTTCAGATACCAAAATCAGACAAGTACTGAAAGTATCTACAAAGTGTTTTAAGAGATAAAAGAAATTATAGAACTAAAATCTGCAGAAGCTTTGAAATTTTGAAAGACACCTTTCAAAAGCTAACAGCAATAGGAAAATTTAATTTTAAACAAAGAAAAGAGTGCTAAACTGCTGTGTAATATCAATCACTCTCTATGGCAGTGAATACTGGAAAATTTCCTCAGAGACTTAGAAGAATGCTGAGAGTACCATGGATGGAACATGTAAACAACAAGGAAGTTTTCTGGAAACAAGAAAGACACTTAGAATCATAGAGAAATAGTTCAAATTTTGGGGGCACATAAAAAGAAAATCAAGTTTGGAGAATTTGTCACTCATAGGACATATTGAAGATAGGATGGTCAGATGGAAATTGTGAGTAATTTACCTAACAATGATTATATAAATGGATGGTAGAACAGGGATTGCAAAGCATAGTAAAAATAAAAACAAACACTTCTAAAAGCTTCAAAGGATAGGAATTTGTGGTAAGCCATGATTACCCATGTCCTAAAGGGACATTACACTTAAAAGAAGATAGTAGATGTTGAAGTTTGACAACTGCTAATGATACTTGTAAATATAAGAATAGATCCAACAAAGGTCATGTCAGATAAGTAACGACAGCAATGACTTAAGGGAAAAGGACAAATGATGATGATGAAGCTTTGCAATTTGACTATTTTGTCTATAATCCACTGCAACAACCAACCAGCTAGTCTTTAATCACTGTAATGGCTAGAATCAGTGATGTACATGTAAAGTATCATGTTTACTCTATACATCAATTTTCTATCCTCCCTTCTTCAACCTAGTTCAGGCAAAAGCCTGCCAAGAAACTTGGGTACTGGATGAGCAGAGTGGGGCAAGAATGACAGCAATAACCTTGTTATAGGAGAGACTGAAACCACTGAGGCTGGATGTTATTTATGTTAGTACGACCAGAGTATAGATTGCCAAGGCGTATGTCCCTCTCCTTCTTCGTATTCTTCTTCTTAAGAAACAACATGAAAGTGGTGAGTGGGGCGACTTTTAAGATATGTGGGGGGGAAAATCAATAGAGGTCCTTTTGCATTCACAACTAAGTCAAGCCAGTTCTTTCCCTTGCTATAACAAGATTTCTGTAGCCCAACATTCTGACGTGGCTAAATTTTCCTTTTTTTTTTTTTCTGAAGAGATGGCCTCACCCTCTTTGAGCAAACAACATTAGATCAGCCCTACCCCTTTCTTCAAGTAGCTTTAAAGGTTTCTTCAAAGGATATGCCAAGGTCATTTACAAGGGTTGATCTTTTACATTTGTCATGTAAGCCTTCTTAAAATTCAACACCTCAAATTTCCATTTCAAAAATACATAGAAAACAAATATATGAAGGCAATCAAGTTTTCTGCTCCTCAGTCTTAAGAAGCAGAAAAATACCAAGAGAATGAAAGAAAAAAGTGCTGAAATGATATGTAATGTCAGTTCACCTATGGGGCAGTGATGTTGGTAATCTCCTCACAGATGAAGAAGAGACTTTAGGCAACAGAAATATAGTTCTACAGAAGGATACTGAGAATTCCATAGACTGAACATGTCAGTAACAAAAATGTTTTTAGGAAAATGGAAAGAAAAATTAAACATACAGAGAATCAGAAAGAGACAAAATTTCTAGAGCACATAATGAGAAAAGAGGGCTTGGAGAATGTGACACTCAAAGGACATGATGAAGGCAAGAAAGACAAAGGAAAGCAGCAAATAATGTACCTAATAAGCATGTGTAAAGGGATTAGGAGTTACAGCAAAAAGAAAACAAGATTAAGAGCTACAAAGGACAGGAAGTTGTGGAAAGCCATGGTTGCCCATGTCCTGAAAGGAAAGGCATATAGAAGAAGATTTCTTGCAAGGTTAGGACAAAACAATTTTTCTTTTAACAATATTAGTGAACAACTTGGGAAAATCAAAAGAAGTTAACAAAGATTATTTTCCCAGTTTCAATTTATTTTGATAAGAATACCTGTTGCTTTGGTGACAGATAATGCAAATTTGAAATTTAAATTGTCAATCCATTTTAAAATATTATATTTATTAATAGGAATAGAGAGGTTTGCCTATTGTCTGGTTTACACTCCACCATGGCCTTTTGAACAGGAGTAGCGGTTTATCCCTTAATTCTTGTTTAGGATGGGGATTTTGGTTCCTTCTAAAGTCTTTTTCTCTTCCACTTCCAGTAAACCCTTGTGTCTTAGTGACATTATTGCTTTACTTGGGGTGAATTGATTAAAAAGAAAAATATGTTCGGTTTAAATATAGATGGAATCATGAAAATGACTTCAAAAGGTTGCACATTTCAGTTTATAATTTTTTCCTCTTACCCAGGATTTGTTGCCAGATTTTTATAATGCTCATTTGTAGGAGAGACTTTTTAAATCACAGTTGCAATAATAGTAATGCCTTTGAACAATAATTTGTCAGACACTGCTAATTCCCATATATATATATATTTTCCATTACCTATCATGTGATCTAATTTTTAGATGAGGTTGACTGTGCTTGCTCTCTGACAATCCATGTTCAAACCCAAGTGTCGGCAGTGGTACTTTATTCCTATATGACACAAATAGAAAGGGCAATTCAACTTTGCTGTATGTTTAAGATGTCCATTTCAGTTACCTGCCTGTAATAACTTTTTTTATTATTATTATCTATGGTGAACCTGCATTTATAATCAATTTTTCAAACTGCTTCAATCAAACAATTGTGATCTGTACTTTTCTAAGTTCTCACTGAATTATATTTCATTAATTTCAGGAATTTTATGCTAAGATGGTACACACTTATTTTTTAACTTTCATTATATAATTTAGAAAAAAAACTTATTTAAGTTCTTTTTTATGCACACACACACACATATATATATATATATATATATATATATATATATATATATATATATATATATATATAAGCATTTATTTCAACTGGGTAAAATCAAATCCATAATAAAAATTATACTTTTTAAGAGTAATTTTATTACTTCTTCATTTCAGACAAGACAGTATATGAAATGCAGGACAAAAATATGATGCTATGATAATTTCTTTTTCATTATGAAAAATGAAAGTAAAACTAAAATCAATTGGAGTTAAATCTATTTAAAAGTTGGTAGCTCAGAATTACAATTTAATGTTATCTTTTATCTTGCACTAATTTAATTTCTTTTTTTTTTAAACTTTTCACAAAATTAATTATTAAGAGATCAAAAAGCATCAAACATAATCAGTAAAACACTTTCAAAATGCTCACAAGTACACAAAACAAATTTGAAAATCATCATCATCGTCTGTAAGTTGTTTTAGTTCTTGTTTTTGTAGAAAATGAACAAACACCTTTCTTTGCCCATGTGTAATGAAAATTGCATACTCTATTGTAGAATGCAAATTCTCTATGCAGCATCTGTTCATAACTAATTTTTCTGTATTTCCTGATATGATAGATGTTTGTCTATTTTTAATTTAAAAAATTATCAATATCTCAAAAATTTACGTATAAAGTTGTTGAAATGTGAAGCATTCTAAAAATCAATATTTAATTATTTTGTGCTAATTATCTAAACTTTTCTTGATCTTTTGTTATTCTAATAAAACACAAAGGAGATCGTGACCTTCCAAAGCAAAGGGTGAAATTTCACTGAAAAATAAATATTCTGATGAATATAAATTGATTAATTCAAGTTTAGGATCATTAACTAAATTAAGCCTTTCCTTATTGGAACATTCTTTCTTGCTGTCTTTGCCTTCATTCTTTCTCTCATTGTCAACAAGTGTGAAATTAATTAACTTGTTGAACAGTCATTTTGTTAAAGAATATTAAATACAACTTGATTTTACGAAAAATATAGGATTAAACATTTTAGAATTTCTAAGGTGTGTTCTTAGGGCTTAATTTTCAAGGTTACTTGTGAAAGAATAGTCATGAAAAATGATAGTGATTAATAAGGTTGAAAATCATCAGAACTCACTGATCAATGAAAAGTTAGAATTTGTGAATTCTGATTTCAGTAACCTGGTAAGGAATAAAATATATTTGCTTTTGTTTAGAAAAAAAATTAATCCCAAACTAAAAAACAGAAATTACATCAAGTGTGCACATCTGTTGAGTACTATTCTGAGAAAAACAGATGTTCAAGATT